TTACAGAGGGTGCCCCTTAGGGTGTCCAGCCTCTACTTCTCTGATTCTCTACTCACCCACTACCTTCCCAACGTTTCACTATCTGGAAAGAAAATGAACTGAAAATGAAATCTGTAAATTTCATTCTGCTTGATTAAAATTCTCACTCAATGCCTCAATTTGTCTTCTGAGTTATCAGTGAGGGTTGGGGGACATCTGCTTGAGAGAGGGTGAGTCAGGAAGATGTTGCTTACGTGGGCTGTGAATCCTGTGGCTGCCCTCCTTGCTCAGCTGGGCTGGGCTTGGTGTCCCTCCTGGGCACCGCACTCGGGCAGGCCTCCATCCCAGCCCTGACCACGCTCTGCGTGCGGAGTGGTCTGCACCATTACTTGTGGCCTAGTCAAGGGCAGGACCTGTCACTCACGATACCCGGCACACAGGAGGCTCTTAAAGTTCCTCACACAAACAAAAGTGCAGGGTGCAAGCCAGACGTGTAGGGCCTGGTCAGTAGTGAACTGAAAGACCACATACTGAGCCTCAGCAACCTCGTCAAGATGGCTGGGAGGCTGGGAGCAGGGACAGAGGAGCGGTGGATGACAATCCCTTACTCACCATGTTGTCCAACTACCGCCCAGCTGACAACACCGACATGAGAGAGGATTCGCCACGTGTGCAAACACCAGGTGCCTGAGACCCCGCTGCGCCAGGTTCAAGCCCAGAACCATCTGATACTCCTGTACCTGATACAGACACAATATTCACTGAACTCTGGGCACAGATGAGGAAGAGTGCGAAAAACAAGAGTTCACTTACAACGAGTGACTTTATTATAAAAGCATTGAAACTTTACTAGTCTTTTATTTTTCCTATTTGGCTTCTCAGAAAGGGTGGCATGGTCAAGAATTTTCTTTGATGTGGTTTTATAATAGCATTCACTTCTTCTCTGTTCTTTTCCACAAGGATATTCACTTTAATCCAGCTTCTACTGCGTGGCTGGTAAAGGGGATACGCAGTAACGCTTTCAAGCTCTTTTATCTCGCTCTTTGCTCTCCCACGCCTGTCCCGTGTTGGCGGCTGGCTCTGGCTTTTTCTCAAGACTCTCTCCTTGAGCCTTTGCTCCAGGAGTTCTCTCCCCCGAAGCATGCGATCCTGGTGACCTTTAATTTGCATCTGCTCCCTCTCGCTTACCTGCCTTCTTGTTTGTACGCTCAGGACGCTGTGCTCTCCTGGCACAATTTTTGGGAATGTTGTTTCACTAGGGGGCCGTGGTAACTGCCTACACGTTTTGGTCTTCAACTCTCTGAGCTGACCTGCTCTCTGAATGTGCCTTTCTATGTTTTTCACCTCTCTCCCCAGAACCAAGTAATACTGCTTTTGTCTCTCTAGCTTGTGGGTCGTTTTCCCCTCCAGTCTCTTCTTGATTTCATAGCCTGTCTCTTGTTCTTTCATCATGTCCATTATTCTTCTATTATAATAAGACTCTGCTCTGGCAAGCCAATAGTCGAGAGAAAGAGCTTGCTCCCTACACAGTGTTTCATGCTCCTCCTGATATTTTTGAGTTATCAGCTGTCTTGCCGCTGTTGTATGCACGCCACCTAGATTCTGGCAAAGTGAGGTACAGAATTTTATAATGTGACCGTCTTCTTAAACACATTTAAACAGGAGCTTCCCCTCATTACTGACACTAAGAAGATATTCGGTCTCTTGTTTACTTTGGTGTTTAACAGTCGAGATTTTTACTCCCATCACTCCTAGGTGAAACTGTGAGCTCTCAGAATTGAATTACCCACCACCAAAATCAATAACTAGTTTTTAAAAAATATAGTATTGGGCATTTTGAACATAAAGCTGTTTTGCAAGTATGGATATGGCTAAACACATTTGCCAGTGTAGACACACTCCAGAGAGGGGCCACCTGTGCAGGATTTTAACCCTAAGGCTCCTTCTCCTATAGTAGTTCCAAGCCATACCACGTGAAGATTATTTACCAAGATTTTTTTCTCCAGTGGGGACTGTTGACCTACAGCAATCCTAGGGTCTGTAGACGTCTTAGCCCAGGCCAAACTGGAAGATAAAAAAAAAGCAGAGGTAGATTAGAATGTGGGAGGTGTCAGAACCTATCTGCTCACATACTGAACCAGAGAAACCAACTGTTTTGGTCAAGGCCAAGGGCATGTTCCCTCAGAAAGAGAGATCCTGCTGTGAGGCAGGACTACTTCCTCCAGGGAATTTAACAACAGCATCTAATCATTTCATAGAAACTAAGCGCGCACATCTCCCGTGGACTCAATGGGAACCATTCTGAATCTGGAATCTGGGCCTGGGAGAGGGAAGACGCAGGCTCCTTGGGGGAGTGCTGGGCACGCACGGCTCTGTCAGACTGCTCAGTCTCCCAGCCTCCTCTGTCTTCCGAGAGACTTCCAGACTCCAGTGGTCTCAGTCCCTCTCTCTGCAGCTTCTTGGTCCGGGCCCTCTCCGCCTCTATCAGCACATACAGCATCTCTGCCTTCCAACCTTCTGTTCTGAAATTCTGTTCTTATGTGATCGCCCGCCCCTCTGCTTTCCTGCCTTATACCTGCTGCTCATCCTTCAACCTAAATCCATTATGAGACCGTTCCCTGTTCAACCCTTGGGGTGGGAATTTGTGGTTACCCTTTTTTTATGGGTCAGGCTGATGGCAACACAAGTGAAGACTGCCAACTTTTTATGTGTCATCCCTGGTCTAATCTGAGTTTACTGTGAGGTCATGTTGAAGCCACTGGGGATGCCTGGCATTTCATCTCTGGCCTTTTGTACTGTTTATGGCAAAGAGCATGGGCTTTGAAGCCTGACAAGGCTATGTCTGAATCCTAATTGCACGGCTTCTGAGGTGTGTGACTCTGGGCAAGTAACAATCTCGGTCAGCTTTGTCATCTATAAAATGGACATAGAAGACACAGTCTGCTTTCAGGGTTATAAAGAACAAACGTGCATTAGATTAAAGAGCCTGACACAATGCTTGACATGCGGTAAGTTCTCAGGAAATGGCACCTGTCTCTCCTCCACAGGTCAAGCCCCAGACTCTACGTAACAGTGATTTTTGCCTTCTTCTGAACACTTCGCTTTTTTTTTTTAACTCATTGGAAAATCATTCAGGGTTTACACTGTGATACCTATATTCCTCTATCATTTTTAACATCTTCTTGCTGAAATTTAGACTCTAAAAGGGTGGTAACTTATAATTTACATCTACAAATATATTATTAGAATGAATCTGACACCGAATATTGGATCTCACGGACTTCTTAGGCACATTTCTATTTGCCTATGTATATCTATTTTGATATTTAAAAAATACAACCATCTTAATTTCTCAGTACAGAACCTAGCAGAGTACTTAACATTAGAGTACGTGATCCCAAGTTCTCAAAGTTAACGATTTGTTGATTACCCTTATCACATGATATTTGAGCATCTTTCTCTGGTATACTCCCCATAACTCTGTATCTTTTTGCTGAAACATTTGCCAGTCTTCCTTGAGGTACAGACATGTTCGTTTTATACGGCTGTCCTGGGCTCTCACACTGGGCCCTACCCATGTACTTTCATTACATTCTCATCATTTGGACTCCCTAAGTCATAACAGTTTTCAACTTTGCATAAATACTAGTTGAACAAATTGTGAGGCTGTGTTGAGAAAGGGCCATGCCTCATAGCACGGCACATTAGGACAGTATTCAATGCACGGGGGATCCTCACTGAATGCTTGTCCAACTGAAAAGGGAAAGTTAGGGGAAAAAAAGCTAATTTCAATTTCCGTTTTCAAAGGAGACACCCAGAATAAAAACTGCCTACGTTGTGGGCTCAACAACAGACCTCCCTTCTTAAGACAGAGGCAGTGACACCCAGTAAAGTGAAATTACGGGGTTTGTCATTCTCAGTAGTTTGCTCGGAGTTTTACCCCGTCACTACCGTCTTTCCATCACTGCAGAAAAAGGCAGAGCGGAGGCTCTCTCCAGGAGACCACAGCTGGTCTTTCAGAGGAGGGGACAGTGACCGCTCCAGAACGTTCCTTGGCACAGCTCCCTGCCTGGCTGGGGGGTGGCGGGCGGGACGGAACTAGCAAACTCATGCAGCAGCTGTCCCTTCAGGACAAGTTTCTCCTCCAGGTTGTAGGTTCCAGAGGAAGGAAAACAGCACGACTCTACAAAGATCCTCGCCCTCATGTGTTATGTCTCGTATTAGGGAACCGTCAAGTGTCCGCGTAATGAATGACGATGAGACTTCACTGCCGGCTGCGCCGGAGCCGGAGGACCAGGTGGAGGTGCGTTAGCAAGCGCAAGCCAAGGTCAACCTGGGTGACGGGGCATCCACCCACGGCTGCCCGCCCCCCTCCACGGAGGCTGGCCTCCCCCGTCTGCGGGGCGTCGGGGGTCCCGGCCTCTCCTTCCGTCCCCTGAGAACTCCTGAGCCCCCTCTCTCGTGCAGCGCTGCCCGCCTGGCTCCTCCTCCACCTTCGCCCGCGCCGCTTCCTTCGCCGCAGGAGGCTGTGCCCCGCTCCGCGCGCCGCCGCAGAGGGAGCCCCGCTCCGGGACAGCGAGAGCTGGAGCTCCCAAATACCAAGGACCCAGGACTCGGGAAGGTGCGCACGATTCCCAGGGCCAGCGCCCCCCGTGACTGGCGTGCGGGAACATAAATGCCCTAGGGCGGGACTCCTACCGGAGAGGGCGCAGCGTTCACCGCCCGTCCTCCCAGCGCGGCTCGCGAAAGCGGCCGCACGCCGACACCCCGCCCGCCTCCAGAGGCGCTGCTCTCCCTTTCGGATGCTGCGCAGCGCTGGACGACGGATTATGACGTCACGACCAATGACGAGCCGGCGCGGCGGACGCTCTAGCCCGCCCCGCGTAGGGCCGGCGCTCTTGCCCGCTTTGGAGGACCGCACGCCGTTTGCGGGTCGGGACGCGGAGCACCGCGCGGGCAGCGAGGCCGGCTCGGACTGCGGCCGCTCGGTCGGGTCCGCGGAGGCGCTGCTCTCCGTCGCTCCGCACCCCGTGCGTCATGGACCGCGCGCGCTCCGGCTCCAGATTCCAGTCGGACCTGGACTTCTGTCCGGATTGCGGCTCCATCCTGCCGCTGCCCGGGGCGCAGGACACGGTCACCTGTGTTCGCTGCGGCTTCCGCGTCCCCGTGCAAGGTGAGCGGCCTGGGGGTCGGCGGGGGGCCCTGACGCCGGAGGCAGAACCCGCGGGGAGAGCGGTGCGGGAGCTCACTACCGTACTTCCCGCCCGCTCAGACTTCGAGGGGAAGGTCGTGAACACCTGCATCGTGTTCAACAAACTGGGGACAGCAGTGCCTGTGTCGGTGGAGGAAGGGCCCGAGTTCCAGGGACCCGTGGTGAGTTAATGACCTCCGGGACTGGCCCCATCGGGAGGGCGGTGAGGACACGCAGGGGTGATTGCTGAGGTCTGGAGGGAAGCGGAGGGGTGTGACATGTGATTCCCATGAGCAGCCAGGGGTAGGACGGGGCCTCCCTGATCCGCCCCTCCCCCTTGCTGGCCAGGTTGACAGGCGCTGCTCTCGATGCGGTCACGAGGGAATGGCCTACCACACCAGACAGATGCGCTCAGCCGACGAGGGGCAGACGGTCTTCTACACCTGTACCAACTGCAGGTGCGCACCCTGCCCTGTCCCCCTGCCCTTTCTCAGCCTGCTGGTTCACTGAACATCTCCACTGATTTCCTCCTTGTACTGAAGAAACAGTTAATTCCTTTTTTTGTTGTTGTTAAGATTTTATTTATTTATTTGACAGAGAGAGACACAGCCAGAGAGGGAACACAAGCAGGGGGAGTGGGAGAGGGAGAAGCAGGAAACAGTTATTTCCTTTGGTCCCATCTCTCTCTACAATTAACAGGGAGGTTTGTGGTCTTTTTATTTTTGAAAATTAACACTTTTCTTAATCTTTTTATAGCTAGTGAACTAAGCCTTTTAAGATATTTAAAAGGCAATGAAAACATACAGAAGGCAAGTACTGCTTAGTAGTCAGCATGTTGTGTTGGAATCTCCCACTGGTTCAAGGTAGTCTTCCTTTTGTGAGAATCAATCACGCATCACTTCAAGAACCCGGGAGCTCTGAATTGCTTGGGGGCGCCTGGGTGGCTCAGTCGGTTAAGCGTCTGCCTTCGGCTCTGGTCATGATCAGGGGTCCTGGGATCGAGTCCCGCATCGGGCTCCCTGCTCAGTGGGGAGTCTGCTTCTTCCTCTGCCTCTGTCCCTCTCCCCGCTCATTCTCTGTCAAATAAGTAAAATCTTAAAAAAAAATAAATTCTCGTCCTTTTATTCTTTTTTTTAAGTAAGCTCCACATGGAGCCCAATGTGGGGCTCAAACTCAGGACCCTGAGAACAAGACCTGAGCTGAGATCAAGAGTCAGATGCTTAATGGACTGAGCCACCCAGGCGCCCTCCTCCTTTTATCTTTTATTCTTAAAATATGTATTACATTTAAGTATATTAAATATGAGTATTTATATTCTGTGTCTGGTAATTCTGATACCCATAGTTGTGGGTCTGATGCTGCTGTTTGTTGTTTCTGCTGACTGACTCGTGGTACTTTTTTTCTGTTTACTTATTTAGTAGTTATTTGTTTAGTGTATGTATGTATGCATGTCATCTCTACATTGAATGTGGGGCTTGAACTCAAGACCCCGAGATCAAGAGTTGCATGCTCTTCCCACTGAGCCAGGCAGGTGCTTCTCATGGTGCTTCTTCGATTTGTTTTTTGGTTTTTGACTATAAACGCACATTTTTTTAGAATTTGAACTATGGGAATTCTTTTGAGTCCTGGGGTGAATTCTGTATTCTCAGTGTTTCTGTTTCCTGTTCAGGTGCCTTGAGACACTCACCAACCTGGATTCACTTTATGTTTTGTTTTAATTTATTTTATTTTATGATTTTATTTATTTATTTGAGAGAGCACAAGCAGGGGAGAGGGAGAAGTGGGGATGGGACTCGATCCCAGGACCCTGAGATCATGACCTGAGCTGAAGGCAGACGCTTCACCAAGCCACCCAGGTGCCCCTGGAATCACTTTAAAGATTTTATTTATTTATTTGAGAGAGAGAGAGAATGAGAGATAGAGAGCACGAGAGGGAAGAGGGTCAGAGGGAGAAGCGGACTCCCCGCTGAGCGGGGAGCCCGACGCGGGACTCGATCCCGGGACTCCAGGATCATGACCTGAGCCGAAGGCAGTCGTTCAACCAACTGAGCCACCCAGGCGCCCCTGGAATCACTTTAAATAAATTCTTGGCTTCAGGTTTTTTGGAGTACATAGGTAGTATGAATTTGGGCTGCAAATCCATGTAAGGGCCAGCTTAGCCTTAGAAATTCTCAGGGGAGATCTTTTTTCTCCCTCTACCTAGTGAGACCATCAAATTCCACTTCTGCAGAGTTGGATTATTTTTTTCTTGTTCACTTTTATGCAGATGGGTAGCCCTTTGGGAATCTCAGATTTATGCAGAGTGTCTCCCATCAGACATTCTGGGTTTGTCTCTGGTTCCTGTATGCGGCTGTCCAAACAACAAGGGACCAGTGGTAGCAAGGGCTTCAGCTCTGACTTAGCTGTCTAGATTACTGGCTGTACATTGTTTTACTCAATGTGAAGACTGCCTTCACTTTCTTGCCATCCTACTGGCAGATTAAAAATATTTGTAGTTAGGTATACCTTTGAGAGTCTAACGTTTTTTTCCCCCCAGTCTGACATACTAATTTTAACTTTTTTTTTTTTTAAGATTTTATTTACTGAGAGCAAGCACAAGTGGGGGGGGCAGAGGGAGAAGCAGGCTCCACGCTGAGCAGGGAGCCTGATGTGGGGCTTGATCCCACAACCCCAGGATCCTGACCTGAGCCAAAGGCAGACGCTCAACAGAGTGAGCCACCCAGGCGCCCCTAACTTTTTTTTTTTTTTAATGAACAGAAGTTTTTAATTTTTATAAGGTCCAGTTTATCCCTTTTCTTTTTTCCTTTCTTTTCTTTAATGGCAAGTGGTTCTTTGTATCCCTAGAAAGCTTTTGCATATACTTTATTATTCATTAGATGTATTTTTGGAATGCTTATATATATTTTTACTTTCCATTTAAATTCAATTAATTAACATATATTATTAGTTTCAGAGGTAGAGGTCAGTGACTCATCAGTTGCATGTAACACCCAGTGCTCATCACATCACGTGCCCTCCTTAATGCCCATCACCCAGTTACCCCATCCCCCACGCCCTCCCCTCCAGCATCCCTCAGTTTGTCTCCTACAGTTAAGAGTCTCTTATGGTGGAGCGCCTGGGTGGCTCAGTCGGTTAAGCGTCTGGGTTCAGCTCAAGTCATGATCTCAGGGTCCTGGGATAGAGTCCTGCATCGGGCTTTCTGCTCAGCGGGGAATCTGCTTCTCCCTCTGTCCCTCCGCCACCGCTTGTGCTCACTCTCCCTCTCTCTCTTGAATAAATAAAAAAGAGAGTCTCTTATGGTTTGTCTCCCTCTCTGTTTTCATCTTATTTTATTTTTCCTTCCCTTCCTCTATGTTCATCTGTTTTGTTTCTTATATTCCACATAGGAGTGAAATCATATGGTATTTGTCTTACTCTGATTGACTTATTTCACTTAGCATAATACCCTCTAGCTCCATCCACCTCATTGCAAATGGCAAGATTTCATTCTTTTTGATGGCTGAGTACTATTCCATTGTATATATGGACCACATCTTTATCCATTCGTCTGTTGATGGACATCTCGGCTCCTTCCACAGTTTGGCTATTGTGGACATTGCTGCTATGAACATGGGGGTGCAGGTGCCCCTTCTTTTCACTACATTTTTATCTTTGGGGTAAATACCCAGTAGTGCAATTGGTAGGTCATAGGGTAGCTCTATTTCCCAGTTTTTGAGGAACCTCCATACTGTTTTCCAGACTGGCTGGACCAGCTTGCATTCCCACCAACAGCGTAGGAGGGTTCCCCTTTCTCCGCATCCCCGCCAACATCTGTCGTTTCCTGACTTGTTAATTCTAGCCATTCTGACTGGTGTGAACTGGTATCTCATTGTGGTTCATTAGATATATTTTTAATCCAGCATTTTTAGTTCTCTTGAATTTGAAGGATTGTTTAGGGGAGCTAGTCTTCCACAATGTCATAAATAAAACTTCCTCCTTGATTTTTCAAATGAATGTCTTATCTAATATTGCTAGAACCTCTGTGCTTAAATATAATGAGTCCTTTCTTTCTCCGTAGGTTCCAGGAGAAGGAAGACTCTTGATTTTTTTTCTGGGCAACTCAACAATTCTCCCTCTTCTCTTTGGACGGTGAGGGATATTGGGTTCTTAGATCCTTTGTCCATCCTAGTTGAAATGTTTTGCTCCCATAGAAGGAAATTATCATGTGGGGATTAACATTGTCCCTAGAGTACACCTATTCTATTGAGTTTCCTTATCACCTATTCTAGTTGAGTTTCCTTATCAAAGTTATATTTTTCTATATGAGCCAGACATACGTATGTTATTTATAACCTGTGTTCCAAAAGGAATTTAAATGAATTTGGAGATATATTTGTTCTTTTTTTTTTTTTTTTAAAGATTTTTATTTATTTACTCAGAGAGAGAGAATGGTAGAGCACACGAGAGGGAAGAGGGTCAGAGAAAGAAGCAGACCCCCTGCCGAGCAGGGAGCCCGATGCGGGACTCGATCCGGGGACTCCAGGATCATGACCTGAACCGAAGGCAGTCCCTCAAACAACTGAGCCACCCAGGCGCCCCAATATTTGTTCTTTCAAGAAGTATATCAGCTACAAAAATATATATAAATTATATATGAGAAGGAAAAAGGAAAAAAAAAAAAGGACAAAAAATGGGAGCCAGGAATGAGACTAATAGAAAAAGTAATTAAAAGTATTCCATCACTAAATCTATTTGGTTCCTGAGTTTAGGGACACAGAAAGTAGGAATCTGGATAGTGGGAGATTGAACAAATAATTTAACCAGATCTCTTTAACATGTGAGCTTGCACAACAAAAACTCTGATACCAAGGGACACCAGTATGTGCTTAGTACAGTTGGACTTTTTGAAAATTGTTTTTTTTATTGCTGTTGAGATAAATGTAATATATACTCATTGTAATAGATTCATATGTAGAAAGGTGGAAAAAAGTAAAAATTACAAGGAATCCCGCTTCAGAGAGATACTTTTTTTTTTTTAAGTGGGTTTTACTATATACATGCTGAGTTGTATCTTGCTTTTTATCAGTTTGACCAAAAACGTAAAAGGTAAAACAGTGTAGTCCGGGCACAATAAACATTCAGATTTACTCTGGGAGCCTGTGTTTTTGCGTTCTTAGCCCTTTACAGGTTCAGAGCTCTCAAACTCACCGTCTGGTCCCCCCACCCCGCCACCTCGGCCACGTGGAGGGGAGGGCAGGCGGGCGTCGCGCCCGTCAGCCGTTCCACTTGGCTCTCCCGCCCCCTGTCTGAAATCCGAAGCAAACCCGTCGGTCTGTCCAGCCCGCTTCCAGCCGTCCCTGACCCCCAGCACCGGCTTCTGGGAGCGGCGCGCGGGCCTCTGCCCGCCCGGGGGAACCGGGGCTCCCGGGGGGCCTCCGCCGAGCCTGCCCCTCCGACCCCGCCCCCCCGGCCGCCGCGCCCTGCTTCTGAGACACTGGCAGTGCTCTTATCAGAGCGCCCCTGGGGTCACTGACCACCGTCCCCGTCGCCACCCCAGACAGAGTGGGCAGTATAGGGCTTCGGTTTCACGGGCGAGACGCACACCTGCGCTAGTTAGTATCTCAGAGTCTTGCCCGACAGGCTCCCCCCGCCAGCAGACTGGGTGGGGGCTCCGAGGCGGGGTCTGGGGACAGTCCGAGCAGACGGCGCATGAAGCACCCCGCCCCAACGCCCGCAGAGCCCGGTCCTGATCAGGTGCGTGCACCTGCTGCTGGGGCCGGAGCTCCATTTCCACAGGAAGCCGGGAAACCCAGGTAGGCACTGCGGGCTGCTTACGGCTGCAGCCGCAGGGTGGTCTTCCCAGGCCCGGAGCCCCGCCCACGGCCCCGCCCCCAGCCCCGCGCGGTCCCTCCGGACCGCCCCTCCTGCCTCGTCTCCGCTGCGCGTGCGCTTGCTGCCCGCGCTCCACACCCGCAGTGACGCCTCTTCCGCCAAGTCTGTGGCTGCCTCTTGCGGCGCCTGCGCACTGTCACGTGATGGCGGAACTAATCCGGCGACGCGTGCGCTTAGACGCCTTTAGTGCCGGGGAAAGGAAAAGGGGAACTACAGAGTGCGTCACACCCGGAAGCAGAGAGCCGGAAGTGGGGTTGGACAGGTTATTCCCCGGGGTGGGGAAGCGGAGGCCCAGGAAGAGGGGAAAAAAGAAGGTGGAGGATCCTGGCTGCTATTCTGAGCCCGATACCGATTGTCTTGACCCCAGAGACACAGAGAAAGGGAAGGGTGTCTCCTCCCCCTTCTTCCCCTCCTCCCTCTCCTCAGCCTTAGCCATGGCCGAGGCAGGGGCCGGGCTGAGTGAGACCGTCACTGAGACAACGGTTACCGTGACAACCGAGCCCGTGAGAAAGGCGGGGGGGGCGGTGCTCCTCGGGGTCTTCGGGAGAGGCTGGGAGGGAGGGGCTGGGGCTCTGGGAGGAGCGGGGTGGACAGCCTGGGGTCGGGAGAAGCGCCAAGGGTGCGGGATTTCCGCAGTGGCAGAGATGGTGCAGAAGGCCGACCAGGCGGCATGGAATGGGGAGGCAGAGTTGGGGTGCAAGTGATGCTGCCCGGGGCGGGCACATGGGTTAGGGAGGCAGAGTTGGGGTGCAGGTGATGCTGCCCGGGGCGGGGACATGGGTTAGGGAG